GGGGGGGGGGGCCCCCCCCCCTTGAAAGGCGGACCGAGACATAACCGGCCCAAACTCTTGCACTTGCACCGCTAGCCCCCTAATACTTGCTACGCAAGGGGGAACTCAGGTAGCTCACCGCTACCTTTCGAGATTAAGACTCACAGAGTATCATTCAGTTTCTGAAGCAACTGGGACCAGTGACCACCAGGTGTGATACTTATGAAAATCAAAGATCTTCAAAGTGCACCTCCATGTGTCTCACTGTAGAGCGCTGCATTCACAAAGAGCGATGCCATCAATAAACCTGCGACCTGCACAAATTTTGCACAAGCCCAAGTCTTTGCACACTAGTTTTGCCACACAAGACAGACGTGCATCCAGGACTTGTGTCTCAACACGAAACCAGCACCAAATTACCAAATGGATTCTAGACTCTCTAGACTTACCAAGTCCATGTCAGGTTTTCCAACATCTCCAATCTTGGCGCGTGGTTTGTCCTTGGAAACCCGACAAAGCACAATGCAGCGCCAGACCATGGGCTCGGCACCGGTATGCTCACAGCGACCTGGTGGATGAACCATTCCAAAGGCTTCCGTGAAACCATCGAAACGACTTTGAAACGACTTTGAAACCATGTGAAGTGAGAACGACTTTGACAACAGCACATACAGCCCATACAGATCATACAGACCATACAGCCCATACAGCACATGAGCCATGACACATGAGCCTGCCCATCAAAGCGCTGGTCAAGGTCTACCTGCAACTCAAAAGCAAGTGCTACTTCAATCTGCTTATCGACAAAGAGAAACAAAACAGATCCCAAAAAAAAATAGAGATCATCAAGCGAGCAAGCTTGATATAAATCCAAACCGAGCCAATAATTAAATATGATGGATGAACTCCATGAACTCCGCATAATCCAGTCAACAGTAGTCAACACATTCAACAGATTTAAAAAGTCGCTTGTGCTTCAACATGGTTCAACCAGTGCTCAACCAACGTCCTCCTTTGGAAGTCCAGCAGGGCGTTGCACCCTTGGCCGAGCGCGACCATTTTGCTCTTCGTTTCCAGATTGTCTGTAAAGTGCAAACTCAAAAGGTTTCCAGATGTGACACTCAAAAACCTTTGCCACTGGGCCACTCCTGACACTCCTAACAGTCTTAGTCCTAAATGTCCTAAGCATTGCGGGCCGCATTGGTTTTTCAATTTGGGACTGTCTTGGACTCTTTTGGACTCTGGGACGCTGACGTGTGAGTCGTGTGACTCGTGTGAGTCGTGTGACCATCGTGAGGTCGCAAAGTGGAGGCGGTGGAGCTGGTCGAGGGTGCTGGTGAAGGTGGAGGCCCTGCACGCGGACCGGTGACTCTAACATCTGTAACTGTCATGGTTGCCATATGCCACCAGATGCCACCATGTGCCATCGGGATCTGGCTGCTTTCAAATCTAAGAAATCGATAGAAATATATTGACCTCCAAGTTCATACAAGCGTCTGGAAAAAATGGAGGCGAGTGGAAACAAATTTTCGAAGCTAACGGATCTGTCCAATGACTTTGGAATCTGACTCTCTGCCGAATATAAAGAAGAAAATATGACGCCATGGTACAGCGTGGTAAAGCTCTGTCAAAATCAGCAAGAAACCCGCGTCAGGTGCCTTTTGACCACGCACCTGGCACTTGAACCAAGTTTTGCCATGAATTAATTGAACATAGTTGAACGGCACTTCTGTGTTCGGTGCGGGTCGAAGCACCACACCTTGACCCGGAGCACTTTCCAGCTGAAGTAAGGTGCCGCAGTTCCTCGAGTTCGAGAGGCGTTTGTCTCAACATACCATCCCTTGGCGTCCCTTGCCCAAGGGATTTCTGATGATTTCTGGATGTCTTGGGACGCGAAATCTCTGAGTGGCAAACCAGCAGGTTCTACTGTTCACTTGTGCTGGGAAAAGCACCGTAGTGCCGCACCTGAACATCGGATCCAGGAAAACTGAGTCGGGTTAAGGCCAAGGTTGTGACAAAATGTGACAAACTGAGTCATTTCTTGAGTCGGGTCCGAAAACCTCCGAGAACCTCCGAGAACCTCCGAATCTTGCCTATCCTTGCCCTCTTGACGACTACATCCCTGGTACCGTCCCTCTAGCGCCTGCAAACCTGCTTGGATACTGGGCTGTTCAGTGCAGCGCTCCCCTGTCAGGTGTTCCAAGCACGTGTCTTGAGTTACGTGCTGTTCTGCATGCTGTACATCCTGCTTTTTTGGGGGAGCTGTTTATGAATCTCGAGGTAAAACCCGAAGCGGCTCCGTCAGAGGCAAGTCACACACAACACTCAGCTGCCGAGCTCCAAGCCGAGTTTGACATAAAAATTACTTTGCTTCGAGTGATCCCCACCCTGGCAAATGGTTTTGACAAAGTTTCTGGCATATGATCTGGAAGTATATATGGACATATATATATGGCATATATATAATATATATATATATATTCTGACATTCTTTCTGGCATATATACTCTGACATTCTTTATGGCATTCTACCGACAATCTGTCTGGCATTATGTCTGGCATTATCTCTGGCATGAGTTCGGGTCCAGGCGCACTCCACAGCATCCGGAGCTGGCGATATGGTGATCGGGTCCAAGCAAAGGAGTGGAGTGAAGGAGGAAGGAGTCAAGGAGTGACTTGCACTGTGCACCTTTGTTAAAATCTAGAGACCCTCAAGACCCTCAAGACCCTCACCTGGCAGGGGAACATGATGGAACATGGCACGTTTTCGACGTAATCTGAATCGACAAATATCGACGTGGCAAGTGTGCAGTGTGCAGTGTGCCTGCCTTGGGATTCCGCGATCCGGTAGCGAGTTCAGAAAATGGTGCATCTGCACATTCTGCACATTCTGCATTTGCATAAGAGAACTTAAGAGGTTTTGAGGATGGTTAAGGCGCATCAAACTAAGACCATGCGGACCATGTGCACATTCAGCAACTCGGCTATGAAGTGTGTCTCAAAAGAGCTGCTAGCTGAATCAATTGTCCTTCTGGCCAAAATAAACGGGTCGGTTTGTCGTATACCATTTGCATCCATTTGCCAACATTCACCCATTCGTTACTATTCTTTGTTCAATGGGGAGCTACCACTCTAATGATCAGGGGGAGAAGGATGCTCGACCACCTGCTTGCCCCTCAAAGGTCAAATTAGTACAGTGCCTACAGTGCGTACAGTGCTGCGGCGCTGCACTTGTCATAGGATCCAGCCTCCCTCGGGCTCCAAGTAGGTGTTGGACAAAGCCCTGCAAGGAAAACAAGAAAACACATCCCAGTTTGCGAGGCTTTGCGAGGCTTCGGATAGCTGAGATTTTGCACAAGTCTGAGCAGCTGCTTGAAAAGCTGACACAAAGACTGTGGCTTTCGGAGAATTGCATCGATCTCATCTTTGCTTCCATGATTGTCTCTTTTGGCATGCTGGCACACCAGACAAAAAATTGAATCAAAAACAACCGAGGCAAGGAAAAGAGAAGTTGAAGAAATTGAAATCTACATCAAGTCGAGACTGTCGAGACTCATTAGAATTGTTCACTCAGTTCTACCCAGCCTCGGCCGTGGTGGGGCATGGCTTTGAACCATACCGTACCTGGATGCAGAACTGAACAAACGGACAGAACAGGCGGCGCAGCAGCAGCAGCAGGCGTCAAAACTCACATGATTTGGCCACTAACTCATCCTAGCCTAGTCCCCTGCCTCGTCTGGCCAAATGCTAGTGCCACATATCACGCATATCTGCTCGATATCTGCTTGATATCTGCTCTTTTTGCGGCTGTTCGCTTTTTCTTTTTCTGGCAAATCATCCCTGTGATTGAGGAGATTTGGAAGGAATGCTTTCGTTAGAACCGCAGTTTAAGGGCTTGTAAAGGCGGTGGCGACGGATCCATGTGCCGTAATTGACTCCAGTCAGACTCTGATTTTAGCGGTAGGGCTAAGTTGGCTAGATTTGGCTAGCAAGGTGGGTGAGCTGAGTATAGCTGGGTTAGGTGGCTGAACTGGTTGGCTAGGAAGTTTCAGATGGGGAAACCTCATGTAGTGTCCCTAAAACCAGACAGCTGCAAGCCAAGAGCGGACGAGGCATGTTGCATGTTGCAAGTCCATGATCCTTGGTAGGAATTCCATGCCCCATCTCCGTCTGTTCAATACCTTCAACGTCGAGTCGATGTGGAAAACTTTACGGCTCACGGCTCACGTTACCAACTTCACTATGCCCCCGCCAGAGGCCATCTGCTCCATCTGCTCCATCTGCTCCATCTGCGTGTTTTCAACGCGAGTCCATAACTGTGGGCCTCTCTTGGGCTTGGGCTTCTCTCCTCTTAAAGGAATAGAAGCACCAGGCAAACTGGCATGATGATGCAACCTGGAGCAAGTCGAGCAAGCTGGCACTTCAAAGCAGCACGTTTCAAATCCTTCTTGATGTGACATCATACATCATGTGACTTCTCATGACTTCTTAATGATTTGTGCAATGTTTCAGTGATGCATCGTGACACCGTCAACCCCGGAAGCACTGAGTGAAGCTGATGGCGCAGTTCGAAAGCTGATCACATCCGATCATATTGAAGTCATATTGGGTTCGTTCGACGTATGTCGCGTCCCATCGCGTCCCATCGCGTCCCATGCCCATGTCTCCCCGCGCCTAGGAGCAGCTGGCCAAGCGCCAGGAGCCGCTTCGCATGAAATGTGCGGAAGGTCTCAGGCAAAACACAGCGAAGCAAAGCGATATGCAAAACGATATGCAACGGGGTGGAAACAGCACTGGAAAGAGCACTGGAAACTCTGCAAACCGAAAAACTCTGAAAAAATCAGAAAACATGACACAAACACAGGAACAACAGCGAACAACCCACACAACGTAGAGCCCAGCACCTGGACATAGACGATGCCCGGCAAAATATACCTCTCAGCATCGGCAAAGGTCACCAGCAACAGCGGCTACAGCTGCTACAGCGGCTACAGCGGCTACTGCACAGGCATAAAGTGTACTTGTCATTCGAACACGGAGCAGCTAGAGACTGCAATGACCAGATTCATTCTCCAATTCCTATCGGCTTGTTTTATATACTTTGCCTCATACTTCCTGGTACAGCAGTGTACAGCAGTGTACAGCAGTGTGGTGGTGCCAATATATGCCAATATCATCCAATATCCCAATGTAATCTGTGTCTGCCGTTTCCTTCGGACAAGAAGTAATCGACTTCTTGCATCGGGTGCATCGGGTGCATCGGGTGCATCGGGTGCATCGGGTGCAGGCGCACGAGACCATGGTGGATCCAGTGGCACCAACAACTCCCAACACTTTGCCGAGGTCCATCACCTCGAATCTGTCGAATCTGTGTACCGATTGTCTCCGATTTCCTGTGGTCTGCTGACATTGTACAGATTTTAGGGGTTTTTGAGATTTTGCCAAGGCCAAATGTCAAAATGCCAAGGCTAAAATGCCGAAGAGCGTTCACAAGTGACGGGACTGTTCCAAGGTGAGACAAATCTCACCTTCACTTACCTTCAGCCTTTTTCTGCAGCTTTACGAAGCTTGACGTAGTTTTATGTAATTTATGTAGCTTTAGATAGCTTTAGTATGTTGTGATTTGTTGTGATTTGTTGATATTTCTTGTACTTTCCGAAGAAAACAGAGTTCAGTGAGTCATCAGTCGCAGGCTGTGATGGCGATGAGCAAGGAGCCGATCAACTCCAGCAGGGTCACTGCTGCCCACCTGTGAGCACCTGAGGCTTGGGCGTAATGCCACAGATGCCACAGATGCCACGCTGCTTGATGTGACTTGATGTCACAGCCACAGCACATATCGATACATATCGGACATATCGTCTGCAGCTTGATGATTCTTGATGTTAATATCTCTGTGAACTGTTGATATCTGAAACGGAAACCTGTGAAGTTGATATCTACGCCAAGTTGATGTTGCACAAGAAATGTGAGCAAAGAAAGTCTCAGGCTTGGCATATCTTGAAGAAATCTTGGCAAAAAGCATGCAAGAAGCCTGCAATGCCGAAATCCGCAAGCCTCCAGTCGGGCGCACAAGATCCATGAGCGCCAGCGCTGATGCGCGCGAAGGATGGATCTGCAGGGAAAACTCTGCTGCCAAATGGATCCAAATAGGTCTGCGCAGATCCGTTTACCAAAGGACACCAAAGATGTGTTTCAAGGTGTTTCAAGCCGTTAAAGAAGTTTGTATTGTTTGCTGTGGACAGTGGCAAAACGAAAGGCTTCTGCGCCTGCAATGGGTAGGAGAGCAATGCCAACAACGAATAGAGAAGTCGTGTGACCGCAACCACGCTGCTTGATGGGTATCCCTGGCAGCAAGAGATCCTCCTTACTTCTAGCATCTACGCATGTGAGAAATGGAAACAGCACCATGGACCATTGCAAGAAAAGAGGATGTAGATGGATGTAGTATGATGAGTGTCCGTCAGGATGTAGAATCACGATCAAACACTAGAGTCCACTATAGTCCATTTACAGTCCCTTATAGAAGCTCGAAACTCGACTCGAAACTCAACAATTTTATAGACTTTGTAGACTTTATAGAACTGCATTTCGTGGAGTCTCCCAAGGGTCCCAAGCCTTTAGAACATCCGAGCAAATGTTGTCACCAAAGGTCAGATAGCCCAGCACCGATGCCAAGCTGACGAAGATGAAGGAGATGAATAACTTAGCCAGGCACGATGCGGCGACGCGATGATGCCGAGATGCAGAGGCGATAAGGAACAGACAAGGAACAGATAAGGAACAAATAAGGAACAAATAAGGATGAGAAGGCACAGGATGTCTGGCTTTTCAATTCCTTTTCACCTTGCGAACACCTCAAGCCTCCATGGTAAGCCTCAGCTATCCCTCAGTCCATCTCCTTCGTAGTACCCTGACATTCAGCACATTTTGGCACTATCAAAATCATGTTTAATCATTTAATCATTGGAGGGAGGCCGAATAGGCAAACAGTGGCAAACATCTCTGGGCGCCACGTGCTGCTGCGGCAATAATGCCATCAACACGGCGGCAAGTGGTGTTGCGGACCTGGAGACAGCTTTGATTGAACTCTGGCTCTGCCATTTCGATGTACCTCATTTGGATTCACTTGGATTCATTTGGTGCTGTAATTGGTTGCAATCGTCACTGAAGTCACGTCGAAGAACATTAAGAACAGGGATTCAAACTGATTCAATGCAATTCAATCATTTCCAGATTCCAAATGGGGGTTCAGGACCTTCATAAATTAAAGGGGAGTCACCTGTCTGACCGGAGCAACTTCGCACCCAGAACCAACAGATTCACATGCCTCGTTGCAGACGGCAAAAATATTCTGCTGGCACGTGAAGCCAAAGATGAAAACAGGCAAAGCCTGACAACGCATGGGGTTTTTGGATTTTGGATCTTGGCTTTGGGGTTTTTGGATCTCCCAAGCAGACCTTATCCAACCACCCAATTCCTACAGAATTCAACAACAACGGCAGCAGAAACCTTGAGCTGGCCTCGAAGTTAATTCAACCTGAAAATGTTCTTTTTTGGAAGTAGTTAATTTAAAATTCGATCTAGTAGGCCCAGAAAGTCTTTCAAGGCCGTTTTTCCATGTTAAGAATTTCAGCCCCCAAGGCACAATTTTTGCTGCAGATGCGGCCCGGACGGGCTCTTTTTCCGCTCGGAGAATGCTGCGCCGCAATGATTCCACGGTAACACCTTTGGAGCCACGCAGCCTGAAACAAAACCACGCAGCCACGCAGCTCAATCCCCTGCCCTTGCACTTACTTACCTGACCTCACCTGCATGGCTTAGCCACCGTCGGTGTCCATGGAATATCTCAAAAACGTCGGAAGTCTGTCTGTGAAGTGCCCTTCGCATTTCTGTCTTCATAAATGCAGAATGCACGCAAATGCAAGCACCTCCACCAGATCTCAAACACGAACGTGGCGTGGCTTCAGGTGGCCCCCACGCTTCCTAAGCAGCAGGTCTCTGTATATGTGCACTTCGTTTGTCAGATTGTATCACCAAGTCTTGTCACCAAGTACTCTTTAGATATGAATAAGAAATAGTATGAATTAAATTGAATTAAATTGAATTAAATTGAATTAAATTGAATTAAATTGATGATGAAAGCACCACTCAACTGGAGTCCGGACTGCTCTGCGCGATGTGCATCCTTTGCCAAGCGCCGGATCCTGCGGTGGAAGCGGAGGACTCCGGAGGACTTCTCCCGGGTCGTCCGAGGTCGTCCGAGGAGCCGGGCGCCTCGGGAGCATCGTCTCTCGGAGCTTCAGCAGCTGCTTTTCCAACTCCTCCGCGGTCGCAGTGCCTCGGAGCATCTCGAAGCGTCTCGAAGCGCTGACAAAACGGTGACTGGAAAGATCTGGAAAGCTGATGTGAATACGGAACGTGTGGAAGGTGTGGAAGGTGTGGAAGGTGTGGAAGGTGTGGAACATGAATGCAATGTCAATCTTATGTGAATGTGATGTGACTGATCCTGGGCTCATGACGCCAGAATGGTGGGATTGGTAAAGCTTGGCCATCGTCTGACCTTGCGCAACCCAAATGTCAAAATTCTGAGCCGTTACCAATCACAGGACCCAAGCTGAGGCGAGAACTTCACCTGAAACGTCTCAACAGATTTGCTTGGTTTGCTCACCTGTCACAATATGTCACAATACGTGCTTTGATGAACAACTTGGCTGCAAAATGAGGCAAGCTTGGGTGACTTAGATCCTTAAAGCATCTTAAAGCCATCAGAAATGGCTGCAAATTCCTTTACCTCCTGTCTTGACTGCCATTGCCGTGGCCTCTTTGGGTTTCGGCTTTGTTGCTTTCAAGGAAGACAACCAATCCTTGGTCCAGGCCGAGGGCTCTGGGCAACGCTTGAAGAATTTGAAACCGAGCACAGAACCAGCTCTGCTTTCGGCTCAGAATCCTGGAACACGAAGCAACATGAAGCAACATGAAGCATTTAGAATCACCAGACTGCGAAGCAAGAGATGACACAAGCCTTGCACATCTTTTCAGAATCAAAAGAATCGGCTGAAACTATGCTGAAACTTTTCTATCTTTTCTCCTCCAAGGAAGAGAGCCATGAGAGCCCGGTCGCCGTCTCCTGACGGAACATGCGAAACTTCTGCACCTCCTCCGGCCCCTTCGGCCCCTTCGGCCCCTTCGGCCCCTTCGGCCCCTTCGGCCCCTTTGGCCTTGCCTGGGAGGTCGAAGTTTCCCCAGGGACTTCCTGAAATCCTTCGTCTTCCTGGACCTCGTCACTGTACCAAGCTCTCTAGACCGATGCAAGATGATGTTCTGCAATGACGTCTGTAACATCAATGTCATGTAACAAAAATGTCACAAAAATGTCAAATGTAACATTCGCTTTCAGCATCTTTCAGCTGGGCTTCCACACTGGGAGGTCCGACTTTTGTCTTTGAGGCCCACCTTTAAAGATCCTTGCAAAGCTGGGCGCCACCTCCACAAGCCTTGGTGAAAGGTTTCGTCGTACCGCATCCACAAAGTCCACCAAGTCCACCAAGTGGCTGTTTCTTTGCAACTTTCACACCTTTCACACCTTTGCGCTTCTTTTTCGGCACCTGGAACAAGTTGGTGCTTCTGTAAAACTTTCACAGTAAGCCTTCAAAGGCCTTCAAGTGCAAGGCTAATTCAAGGTAAAATCCAAGAAATTCAATGATTTTTTAAGATTTTTGGTAATCTTTTGGTCACTCAAAGTCACGGCACCTCCTCGGCCTGACTTCCCTTGGTCGAGGAAGGTAGGATGTAGAAGGCTTCTACGAAGGTATGACACCAGGTATGACAAGGTCGTCTCAAGGCGTCACCGAGGACTCCGTTTCGACTTCGACGACTTCGAAACCGTTTCGGAACTGTCGAACTCGGTTTTTCGGGTTCGATAGGTTTCGGGCTGGATCGTAACGCCGTACCAACAATCGGTCACCTCCAAGACTTCAACTGAGCTTAGGCACAGTGCTGAGAACTGAAAATCTGAAAACAGTTGAGATCGCATTATGATATGTCGGAATCTGTCAGAATCTGTCAGAATCAGGGGTTGGCTTCCTTCAAAAGACAGCGGCCAACGACACAACACTTCACCGGCCTAGACCCGGCATCTAGCTAAGCTGCACCCAGCGATAATCTGCCTGCAAAATGAGAGAGAAAAAGCATAAATGTCTAAATTGCAAGGAACATGAACGTCTGACGTTTCTTTGTTTGGATAATGTGTCGTTTCTTTTCTGAACTTGCTCAGTGCACACTCCTTCAGTGTAAGTGCCTAGGATCTTCATGTGACTGATGCGGCCTTTGCTACAGCATTGTTCTTCTTGTGTCAAATCGTCTTTCGAAACAGAAATGCTGTTGCTAAATGTTGTTGATCTGTCTGAACCAATGCCTCCTGGAGCACTCACCGTGCAAACCATCAGGCACCGAAGCACAGAAGGCGCTGTGTCAGACACTAATCATTTTTGGAGTCCGAAGGATCATGCCCTCAACAAACTGTACAGCACTTTAAGGCTAGGCTCACTGACGAGAGGGAGAACGCAAAGAATAAAATTGTTGCGAAAATATCGCTTTGGACACTCTTGGTGGGTGATTTTGAAGCGCTCTATCTCTATCACCGCATGACTTGGAAACTGATGACTCTTTGCTGCAAACAGAATGCCTCAGGGTGATTTCGCAACAAAACATAAAACTTTGTACGGAGTTATAGCAGTGACATCTGAGAGATGTTATTTGTGTGTTCGTTCATATCGTAAGAATTGGAAACATCCTTTGATGTCTTGGCCGCCTAGACCAGTCTGCGAGCAGTTTATGATGTTTATGTGTCCAAGTTCACAACAGACTGTGATGTTTGTCTCTGATTTGTCATGAAATCTATGCCGAGTGCCAAGGTCGAAAAATCGAGTGACAGCCGTATCACGTTTGGATTCCCAATGTATCACCATCGTGTCACCATCGTGTCACCATCATGTCACCATCGTGTCACCGTGTCACCGTGTCACCATGCCAGGCCTTTCCAAGGGCCAAGGGATCTGAAAGGTCAACAGCCTTGACTTCTGCATCTCCACAAGGCAGCTCCTTCAACGAATTCAAATTCTGCCCAGTGAAGACTTCACCGTCTTCACCCGGTCATTTTTCTGATTTCCGTTTCCTGTCAATTTCCAACAGAAACATGTTCACATCCTGGTGTCCGCAGGGTTGGAAGGTCTTCGAAGGCTGGATCACAAAAAGAATGATCAGCACAACTGTCCAAGTGACGATCAACAAGGATCCAGCCTTAGAGCAAAAAAAGAAAACGGAACAACATGGAAAAACACTGCTGTCTCAAGAACTCCTGAGTTACTGAGTTTTGGTCTGATCTCGTTACATTGCCATTTCCACAAAAACATTGGAAATTTCAATGACTCGTGCAGCAAAGCTTGAGTCGCGCATTGAAAAAGGACTGGTTTCCAGATCCATTTCGTCATTCCGAACAGATGGCGAACAAAAAGCCTGGCAAACCGATCTCGGAGGGTCCAAGGAGCCGCTGTAAACTTTAAGCCGCTCAAATTTCTACAACAGGCCAAAGATCCAGCCACCGCAAACCTTGGCTCCAACAATGCTCCATGCTCCAACCCAATCAAATCAAGTCAAATCAAGTCAAATCAAGTCAAATCAAGTCAAATCAACCAGTGATTCTAGCGGTCCTAGCGGTCCTAGCACTTACCTTTCTAGAAAAACATGGCATGTTGACTGCCAGTTCATCCCGGATCATCTCTGACTCTACAGGCTCCACTGGCTCTACTGGCTCTACTGGCTCTACTGGCTCTACTGGCTCTGCTGTTGAGTCATTTCACCATCCTTTCCAAGGGGCCCAATCAAAATGACCTCCCAACGATGGAATTGTCTGAAGCCAAAGAATACCAATGCCTCACTCAGTCAACGCCCTCTTCCCATATTTGTTCACTTGAGTATTTTCTCTTGAAGGGGATTATGAAATGAGACGAAATCAATGGAAATGCTAGAATGTGAAGGGGAGTTCTTATGGAATGCTCACTCGGTAGGGTCTCAACATCTTAATTTTGAAATTTGATCCAGGTTAACAGCTTTATTGAGCTGTCATTCTCATTCACCTTCTTTGCAAATTGTATGCACTGCACGAGCAAGCTCAGTAGATCCCTCCAAGTCTTGGTATCTGAGCTGCTGGGGGCGCTAAATCGCCCACGATGATCAGATACGATGTCGCCACCCCAAAGCATTTCACCATCACAGCACTATCCTCGAAACATCGGAAGCAACCCTCCTATACCAAGCTGTCATGGTACAGTTTGCATCTCACAAGCATCAACAAGAATCTATGGCAAATGGATGGCAAGTGGATGGCAACTGGCACAAAGAAATACAAAGAAGCTCGAGCTGAACTATGTACGACGTTTTCACATTTTCCCCTAGGGCTGGTGCCGCTCAGAGCCTCCTAAACCCTTTCAACCCAGGCTCAATCAACCATGTCCACCGTGGGGCAACCGCATTGGAGACCTTGAAATGTATGCTGCATACTGCTCTTATCCAAAGCCCCAATCATGCGGCCAACATTGCTGCGGCTTCTTGCTGCATTCTAAGCATTCTAAGCCTCTAAGCTTGGTCAAAAAAGAAAAAATATACAAACCGTCTCAGCATCTGGCTGAGTAGAAGGAGCACGGAGCTTGGCCGATCCTCCAGTTCACTTCAAGCCAGGTTCACATCTTTAATTACTTTGAATAGACTCTTCACACTCCACTTCACGAAGAGAAGTTGCACAAGCTGTTTCTATGCTCGAGCAGGGTCCTCCAATCTGATCACTCAAATAGTAAATGATGGCAATCCCTATTGTGATAATACGTGCAATACAAACATATAGTTATCTATCTGTGCACACACATATGTATGGTCCCTGCCTCGGCCAGCAAACCCTCTCCCCCCACCCGTGGAGGTAGGCTACACCCTACATACAGCCTATTGACAACCTATGTACTATCTAAAGTCTGAAGAGTCTGAACAGCACCTTTATTGTAGCGATATGCAACCTACTGTCAGGATCTCATATGCTATTCTTACATGCTGGCCTCGTACCACCTATACACTACGTGCAGTATTCCTTCCATAGGGTTCACTACCCATACACACCCCATGCATCCTGAATACTACCAATTGCCAATATGTTGTAACCATGACCATCACTGAGGTGAGGGGGATTGTTGCGCTGTACTTATATAATATAATACTATTTATGTGTATGTGTATATATATATATAATATGTTTATAAAGTATGTGCCGCCACACATGTAAATATGCCTTCCACATCGTGGGTTGTCTAAAGATATGATAAGTGAAATGAAATCAACGCAACCGTGAAAACCTTGCCTTCGCGCAGAGCATTGAAGTAAGTGACATCCAAAAGCCGAGCAAAAAGCGAAGAAGACCATGAAGAGCATGCCCAAAGCATAGCCTCCCCAATTTTCCAACTACCAAAAGGATACAACGTGCACTTTGCGAATCTTTTGAAGAACGCAATACTTTATTGCAGCATCGGATATCAAAACAGTGTGTAAAGATAGAACACAGCAAGCAAATGTTCCCGGTCAACAAGTCAAACAAGTTGCAACTATTTGTCACTGAAGAGGTGCATGTCAAATGATTCCGAAATCAGAACTACTTTGAATTCACAACGAAAACATGAACAAATGTACAGTTTCTTGCACCACGTTGCACCTGATTTAGCCAAGGCTGAGGGCATTCCAAGAAGTCCAGAGCCCCCAAGCACAGTGTTGGCCAAGACCAAAATTCCGCTTCGCGCACTGGCGAAGCCGAGCTCCTTTCCGGGCATTGGATTTTTTTTGAGGTATACAATGTCAGCATACCAACACACAGCAAAAATACATGTTCTGCTTTTTATATATATATATATTATAATGTATATACACAGACAACGTCACAAGGATTGGACACGTTTGAATTATTCCTGCATTGTTTTCGAATATGGGATTCAGATTGTGCCCTTCCACAAAGTCCTTCGCCAATTTGGCAGATTCAAAAACGCTAGTGGCAGTTGAACTTCCCGAAGCTACTGAAAGAGCCACCTCGTTTCCAGAATCCATGCTGAAATTTGCGAATTTGACGCAAATACCCACAACAAAAATTGATTTTGGTCATATCCCTTGTTGTCCTTTCAAGATGTACAGTTAGATTGGAAATCGTTGTGGCAAAGACACGCAGGCAGTGAATTTAGTGAAAGAAGGGTTGGTTCAAAAATCAAAGATCCACCTGGCTCTCGGTTTGAAGCAGATTTTGTGCCTGGCAACACACGACAAAGACACGTGGATGAGAAACATTGCTTGAACCGTGCCTGACCAAACAGTCATCTATTACTGTAAAGAAAAAACACCCTGAAATATCGTGCTGAATCAATCCGATGGACAAATTTTGATGGGCACATTGCCTGTGTTGAAGAATACATGCCATCACGGGCCGCAGGCATGTTTATTGTCCAAGAAAATATATGTGCAAATTATTGGGAGTCCAAAATGAATTGTTGCACAAGACTCACGGGATATATTTTGTTTGCCACGTCTGTGTTCAATGAAAAATTCAACATTGAACACATTCATGATATTTTTGTGGGAGTGTGTTTAGAAAATACAGTTGGTTTGTGCACAATTGTTTGCGTTTGAGGGTGACCACTACACACCCCATTTTTGTCCCAGTCCCTTTGGAGCGATCAATATCAAAGTGAAAATCATGATTGCACCTGGAAATGCAACCTAGAAACGCATGAATCATTGTGTGTAATTTTAAGAGACATGCAAACCAACTGGCTAAATTCCGCCCCGGATTTTTCAGCAAAACACTTGAGCCAATGGAAAGGATGTCCACACATGATGAAAACATGAATGAAATGAGGATGTAAACAAAATTTGCATCGTGAAAACCCTGGCAATAATTCCCCACAAAGCACAGGTGTAGGACTTTCACTGTTCGCGGGTGATTGAAGATATGCCTTTGTGGCATCCGAAATCTCAACCTTAATGTTGGGGCGCATCCCATGGTAAAGGACCATGTTTACGGTCGCTGGCAAAGACTTCATTTCCTTACAATCATCCCCCCTGAACACCAGCCTAGATTTCATGTTTTGCAAATTTTTCTGGAATCAAAAAGCGCCTGACGATACACGCTGAGTGACAGTTCTTGATTTGTGCTGTCAATGCAAATGACTGACATCAACTGTACTGTTTCTGCAGGGTTTCCACATGCGTAACTATACAACACCCCGCCTTGATATAGGCTTTTGCCTAATATCATTACATTATTCTTGGGAGCCAATGGACGTGGACATCCATACAACCGTGAGTGAAAACAAAAAGAGGGAGATGGAGAAGGTAGAAACGCAATACGCGAGGAACAGGGTTAATACATAACCACGCGCACGCGATAGGTCGGCTGACATATATTCTGACCGCAGTCGAACGAAACGAAAACGACAAATAAACATGTCTGCAAAACATCACCGGAAAAACAAACTGGATTGCACATGTTTGAAGTGACAAACTGAAAGCTGATGTGAAGTGACATGCCCTGTGCGGTTCCACTCTTTTTTCGTCCTGCTGTTTGCTCTGATCACACGGGGGAAGTTCTGGATCGGAAAGGTTATCCGACTGGAGAGAGTTTATGGTCTTTGACTTTTGGTTCTTGCTACCAAGTTTGACCAAAGGGTTTTGTTTCCAGGCTGCTCCATGCTTGCAGCTCCGCTCAAACACCCCAAGGGTGGGAGGAAAAGTGTGCTTTTCAGGGTGGGTTCAAAGCTACCTATTCCCTGTGACATGGAGTGGAAAATTTTATTCCACTTGAATGACGGGCGTGGACATATATAAATGACATGTTTCCATGACATTCACAGGTTAAGGAAAACAAGAAGGTTTCAGACGATCTTGTTTGTCTGACTTGTTTTACAATTCAAATTCTTCATATTGATACAGAAGGAAAAACGACATATAAAACAACCTGTTTGTTGCCAGTTCAGATTTGGATACATTCTGTAAAAACTGGAAACAAGCTGGAAGTCGTTAGAAACAAGCATACGACAAAAAGGGGTGACTACCGTCAAACCTGGTATACAGCAAGGTAAGCCTCTTTTTGTATCACACCCACCAGGATTACAGCAGTTCCACTTGTTTTGCAAAATTTGCAAAACACCATTAGCACCCAAGAATAATGCAATCATCTTTGTACCAAAGAGGACGTGCTTCAACTCCTCAGGACTGTGCAAAATCCTTGGCGTACATTTTTGTCGGAGTTCTGTGCTGTGAAAAGTTGCGCTACAGCAGTTGCAAAGCCTTTGTTGCTGATGCGGCCACTGCTTTCCTTGGCACAAACCACTCTCAGAATTCTTCTTGATCGTCCCTGGCTTCTGCTGGGCCATAGTGCATCTCAGTCCATAGGTCAGGGCCTGAGACTTTGCACATCTCATCATTCATATATCTCCTCATCTTTTCACTTTCTGTCTCTTCGTGGGCTCCCATACTGTCGTCATCATCGCTGTTGTTGCTCTCATGGCCACGTGCTGGAGGAGGTTCTGGAGAGCGCAATGCTTCACCACAGGCTCGGAGGAGGTCACATGTTGCCTCCCATCTGTCATACTCCAGCAGTGACATGATATGGCTGTGAGCTTTCCCAGAAGACTTCAAAAGTTCTTCCATGGCTTCAGCTGGAAGCCTGCGCAAAGGAGATTAGTCGTCTGAAGACAGTTCATTCTCCCCAGTCAGACTTTCCATCGTCCTGTTTCTCTCAAACATTGAGCCGGGAAGATGTGTCAGCATGGCACATAACCACTTCTTTCCTTGGCTGTACTTCATGATCCTTCCATAATCCGACCTGTCCTGAGCTATCTTCAGGCGTCCAAGAACTCGCCTGAGCGTCAAGGTTACTAGACCTTCCACCACTGACTCTGGCCCTTCTGTGGTGCGAGGCTCTGCTGTGGCTAAGGCTGTAACAGCCGGCTTTTCCACGCAGGTCAAACCATGCCATGGGCTGACCCTGAGCATCCACCAACTGTAGAGCATACACAGCGCGGTCCAAGTTGTCAAGACCATGGTTGTCACGCTTATGAATACATTCCCATCATCAGCTGTCTCATTGTTGCATCCAGACAGCGCTGGCAACAACGGCAGCAGCTGCAGCCATTATGCCTGTGACATGTTCACCAAGTGTGCCGTTTCAACCATTTGGGGAGTCCTCATCTGCAGACAGATCATCCACCATGTGCAGCATGTTGCTGGCACCTTCATACTCTTCGTAGTTCGCGTGGTGCAACAACGTGAGCATCTCCTGCAAGAGATATTTACGCTGTTGGTATTTTGCGACCCTTGCTAGATCCTGATTGGAAGCCGCGACCAACTCGCGTCTCATGCATCATCCATACATCCAGTGGCGCAAACCTTCAGCGAGAAGGCTGGTTGACCTCCAACGATCTCAACTCCATCTTCATCGCTATAAAAGTCACCAGAGCTTGTCTCTACGCTGCTCATTCCATCCACGCTTGTGATTCCTCCCATACTGTCCAGCTCATCACTGTCCTCGTTCATGGGCTCAAAATTTCCAGAAGCCTTTCCAAGGCTGGCGTTCAAGTAGACGCCGTAACCAACGAACAAAGGAAACCATGTTACCACCACTTTGGTGGCAAACTGCGACTCAGCTGGCACGACATCCATTGCTGAAAACAAAACGGGATTGCCATCAGTGCATCCTTGAAGTTGTGTCAACTGAGACAATGTCAATGTGCCCAAGGCGCTGAGAGTACTCATCAATGACCTGATGTGCTGCCTTGATGGGATGTTCACATGACGAAAGATGTTGGCTGGGTCCCATGCACCAACTAAGCTTCAGTTTGAGCCACACCAAAGACCGCGGAAATAGCTGAGTGAACCAATTCTGTAGAAAAAGCGCGCGAACCATACGCTGTGCGCAACGCTTCCATTAACAACTACAGGACTACGCGGGAAAACGCGGACGCCAAACGCGAGCACAAAGTGTGTAGTCACAAAACCTAATTAAGGACCGGATAACCCCACATGTTACCAACTTCTTTAGACTTAGACTGAGCATAGAAAAGCAAGAAGGGAAGAGGAAGTATAAGAGTGATGGAGCGGTGATGGTGGGTGAGTTTGTGTGTATGTATGTATGTTCATGTACAGTGAGTGAGTGAGAGTGTGAGTGAGTGATGTGAGTGTGGTGTGTGTGAGTGAGGGATGTGAGAGTGAGTGAAGTGAGTGAAGTGAAGTGAAGTGAAGTGAAGTGAAGTGAAGTGAAGTGAAGTGAAGTGAAGTGAAGTGAAGTGAGTGGGTGAGTGAGTGAGTGAGTGCGGTAGGTGAGGTATAGGTGAGGTAGGTGGTGAGGTAGGTGAGGTAGGTGAGGTAGGTGAGGTAGGTGAGGTAGGTGAGGTAGGTGAGGTAGGTGAGGTAGGTGAGGTAGGTGAGGTAGGTGAGTGAGTAGGTGAGTGAGTAGGTGAGTGAGTAGGTGAGTGAGTAGGTGAGTGAGTAGGTGAGTGAGTAGGTGAAGTAGGTGAGTAGGTGAGGTAGGTGAGTAGGTGAGGTAGGTGAGTAGGTGAGTAGGTGAGTAGGTGAGTAGGTGAGTAGGTGAGTAAGTGAGTGAGTGAGTGAGTGAGTGAGTGACTGACTGACTGACTGCGTGCGTGCGTGCGTGCGTGCGTGCGTGCGTGCGTGCGTGAGTGAGTGAGTGAGTGAGTGAGTGAGTGCCACGCCTGCCACGCAAAAGTGGAGGAGCCCGAGGGACGCCAGGGCGTACATCCGACCCCTTGGCAGCGCACATTGTCCCATGCCTGCCACGCAAAAGAAGCGGAGCCCGAGGGATGTTGTCCTGGACGTCCTTTGTCAGATGAGCCCCTTACTGCATGCACTGGATGATGGCGATGATCCTCACGAAGTGCCTGAACAGTTAGTGCAATGATGCATGTTTTGATGTTGACCTACGATTTATCAATGCCCCCTGAATAAAATTATTTTTTCCAAAATTAATAATAAATGACCCCTAAATAAAGCTAATTTTTTTTGGCCCTTAACCCAGATTTGGCCCAGATGGAGCTGACCAAAACCTTTATTCAAAAATGATAGCTGGAAACTGTCAAAAATGATGGATGCTCTTTCTATTCAAAACCTTTACTTAATTTTATCCAAAATCAACTCCAAATCAACTCATCAAGGGTACCCCTCATGAGGTGCCTTAGCACCAATTAGAGTTTGACCCTGAATAAAGCTACTGAGCTCCCCCTCCCGCTGATCAAGAAATGAATACTAAATCAATACTAAATCAATACTAAATCCATGAAATGAATACTAAATCAATACTAAATCCATGAACTGAATACTAAATCAATACTAAATCCATGAAATGAATACTAAATCAATACTAAATCCATGACATGAGTACTAGATCAATACTAAATCCATGACATGAATACTAAATCAATACTAAATCCATGACATGAATACTAAATCAATACTAAATCCATGACATGAGTACTAGATCAATACTAAAACAATTGCTGGATTCCTTTTTTTTTTGAAATTGCATTTTCTGTATTTGTTTTCAATTGTGGTAATTTAAAACCTTTACATACAAACAACTTTTATGGCGGCTTTAAGTTTATTTAGGGTGAAAGAGGGGGGGGGGCCTATTTATAAATCAGAGGTGGACATTACTGTTTGACCCCTTCACCAACGAATTTGACGACACTTCTCCTGGACGACTTCTTCGACAAGTCGCTCAGTTATATGCTGGCAGTCTGGCCCTGCCAGCTCTTTCTTTGTCTGGGCCCGCGGTGCCGTCCTGTCTTGGGACGGCACTGCTCAGAGCAACTGACTGTACTACCAGGAACTGATGACAGAGCAACGCGCGTCCTTGGATTCCTGCAACCTCCCACGGACTGTACACCCATGCTTTGTGGCAACTACCACAACCTTTGAAGCTGACCAACCTGTTCGAAGATTTCGATTTTAGGCGACTGCCTTTTGAAGATGCCTTTTTGAACAGAAGGAGTAGCAGGAGCAAAAGTAACTAAAATAGCTCATTTTCTATAGGTTTCAGAAGTTACATTAGGGAGTTTTTGGACGCAATTTTGATGCTTTTCCGTCCTTCACTGCCAGGATTTGCCGCTGAGAGTGGTTCGATTTTAGGCGACTGCCTTTAGATGTCTTTTTGTATAGAAGGAGCAGGAGCAGCAGCAGCAGGAGGAAACAGGAGGAAAAAGTAGCTAAAATAGCTACTTTTCCATAGGTTTCAGAAGTTACATTAGGGAGTTTTTGGGCGCAATTTTGATGCTTTTCCGTCCTTCACTGCCATGGGTGGCTTGATTGTTTGCTGCAAAAAGAAGGCGCATCAGCCTTTTGCAGCCTTAGGTGATTGCTTGAAGTGTTTCTTGCTGTTGCGGAGTTTGTGGGTTTCGCGCAGGTGGCCCGGCTTCCATTTGAGAATGATTGTATTGATACTTTACTGCCCCTTGTTGGCCCCCCTTGCCCCTCTAGACTCCTACCGTTTGCAGCCCAGAAAGAACATGAATTATGATCTTTTCAGTCAATCCCGTTATTAATTAATAGTATTAATTTAAAACGGGATGGAGTAAGAATCTGCTTAGGGAAAGATGTGGGAAGGTGAAGTATTGAAGGCTCTCTTACTCCGCCATCGTTTCGATATCGTGTCAATTACATTGGGTAATTGAATTAAAATACCACGGAGTGGCGGAGTAGCGCGGAGTAGCGACGGATTGGTGAATGTTGCCTGGGTGGTGCTGCATTGCAATCGCCGCATTGGAGCTAGGGAACGGAGACAGCTGATACCACATGTGCGCTTTCAGGTTCCATTTCTGGAGCCGGAAAGTCAATTGAAATCAGGCTTCGTATGTGCGGGCCTCCTCTGAAGTCGCTAAAATAGCTCATTTTCTGTGGGTTTCAGAAGTTACATTAAGGGAGTGTTTGGGCGCAATTTTGATGCTTTTCCGTCCTGCACTGCCGTGGGGATTTGCCGCTGGGAGTGGTTCGATTTTCGGCGACTGCCTTTTGAAGATGCCTTTTTGAACAGAAGGTGTAGCAGGAGCAGCAGCAGCAGGAGGAAACAGGAGGAAAAAGTAGCTAAAATCATTCTTATCGGTTTCCGAAGTTACATTAGGGAGTGTTTGGGTGCGCTTTTGATGCTTTTCCGTTCTTCACTGCTATGGGCAAATCCCACCTCAGAGAATTACTGACCTTGAGACTGCCATACGTCAACTACGTCAATTAAGCTGCATTTTGGACAGTTGCACAATTGCTGCCAGCTGCGAAGTTAGTCAAGCGCAAAAAGCACTGCTGCTCATGCCGCGTACAGCTAGGGGTGCAAGCACATCGTTTTTTTTCCGTCAACGCCTTCATGGCTTTCGCCAGGTCGTTCAACATGTCGTTCAACATGTTTTATTGCCTGTTGCGAATTGGGATTAATTGATTAATCATGTAATTATGGCATACGAAGGCCGTCTGCGGTTGAGTGGCCTCAAAAGTGAACTGGTGAAGGACCGATACGTAGTCCTGTGTACTGTCACAATGTCATCACCAAAGCGCAAACGAAACAAAAAACCAACACACCAAAAACAACCAAAACACAAAAACACAGAAACACAAAAACACAAACCCAAACAAAACACAAACAAAAAACAACCCACACAAACAAAACAGCAACGTGACAGGTTCCAGTTCATGGGTGAAATGGGTTAATTGATGCAAGAGGTGATAACCTTGTATCATCTCAGTATGGTATGGCAAAGCAACAAATCAAAAAACACCAGAACACCAGGCCATACCAGCGAGTGAGTAAAGCAACAAAGTACCATGCGGAAACCAGGGATCCCCCCCGCCAGGATCCCCGAGATCACATGGCACAGGCCGTCAAGGCATAACGACTCACATGAAGGCACCTCGAAGCAAACACCGTCAACACCGGGTCGCAGCGAGAGTGGTGAAACGCAAAACAGGGTGAGACGAACGGTGAAACATGAACTAAGGTGAGAAAGGGAAAACAAGGCATCTACGGTGTTCAGGGCACACTCAGAGTCCGCTCAGTAGTGCTTTTCCAATCATCATACTCTCAGGGGTTATCCGTGCACATTTCCAAGAGTGCTTGTTGGATGGGCGCTGTGCCAAAGGCAGTTCACTTGAATAACGACCAGAGTGAGGGGGCGCACATCGTCCGGTGAACGCACAGTCACTTCCAACAGATGATGAATACCACGCCCCTCAAGATCAAGACCAGCTCCAAGAACACTAGCGCACTGAGGAAGCTAGAGAACATCATCGATCTCGCAAGAAGGCCATCCTCAAGGCCTGATGTACCCTCAACGTTATGATGATTGGAAAAGCACTACTGAGCGGATTCTGAGAGCGCCCTTAGGTTAGCTCGCTCGACATCTCTTCTCACCCTAGATCCTTCTCACCGCCGTTTTCATTTTGAAGACAAAGGGTTTCATACTTTTTGCACGCTATTTTACCGCTTCTCTCACTGTCAGGACCGAGCCTTAGAGCGAGATCAGAAGAAAAAAACAGAAGGGAAAGCAGAAAGGGTCGAAAGGCTCTTGGAAAGGCAATGGCAAAGATGGCAAGTCCAAGAACTATGACAGCACAGCAAGGGCAAAGGGAAAGGCAAACAGAACACTGGACATGGCAAAGGAAAA